GCTCCGGACACACTTTGTTTCATCTGGCCGGGCGAGCACAAGACCTCTTGTAAGACCATTTGTTAATTAATGAGCCCAATCACTGAGAAAGTGTTGTACCTCTGTTCTGCTACCCCCTGAATAGGTCTATTCAGCCAAACCTGGGCTATACAGTGAATTGTACCTATGGTGTTTTAATCACCTGGACTCACGCACGAAGACCAAATGGTTGATGAGATGCATCATCATCATCATCATCATCATCATCATCATCATCATCATCATCATCATCATCATCATCATCATCATCATCATCATCATCATCATCATCATCATCATCACCTTCATCATCATCATCATCATAATCATCATCATCGTCATCATTATCACTGCGCAACCACGTCAGTAATATCGTTTAGCCGGCGTACTGTTCAGTGTCTCAATCCAAGTACAGGAATGCACACCGCTATGTTCCCGCCTCTCCAAATTAGACAAGGAACGCGAAATGCGCAACTCATTTTTTTCCCTTATCTTGTAATACTGGATGCCTTCTATGAGTTGTTTGTCCGGGAAAACTCCAATTCTACACTTGGTACGAAAGTATTCTGCGGACTTCAAATTTGCAAGGACTAAAAGAAATAGTGAGTATGAATTCCAGCAACATCAGACCAGCCATAAAACTTCAATCAAACCAGGACTATTGATGTAAAAGATGACCGCGGGTTCGTGCTTGGCTTAAATTGCCACCCGTGTATATCAGCTGGGTCAGCGAATCCACTCACTTGAGAGATTCGAGCGACAAATCGGGCGCTGTGCAATTTGTCAGTGTCAAGAAGGTCAGATTCCTGAAGATAACCCCAGAACCCCCGGAACCTGCTGACACTCCACCAAGGTCTCGGTAGGGCAGCCACGAAGTCAACCACTCAGGCAATTCAGCAAACGTGGATTAGTGCTCAGGCACGCCATAAAAGCCATAAAGACCGACGATGACAAGTGTTCAGACACCGTCGATGTTGATCAGTGTTCACTAAACGCCTATCAGACAGCGAGGAGCAATATCAAAAAGTGCGCTTTAAATAGCGCGAGGCTGTTGTAACTTTTCTACTCATACGCACTCGTTTGTTGCAATAAGGCTGTTGTGTTCTTGTTGGTGAACCATTTTCCGGCACTAGGTACTGCAGCAGTCAGATATAACAGTCAGCCATCTTTACAGCGTTATGACAAAGCGAACTAGCAATCAACACACGAAACTGAAAGGCATCTGGTGGAGCCGGGCCCCGCTACAAACCTCCATTCCCGATCGACGTATTCAACTGCAAAAAAACCTACCTCAGATGCATTTACATAAATTTGTGTTCAAGTATGTTGAACATATTTTCCCGCGAAACACACTACTCACGAGTTTGCTTAAAACGCCTAGACAACCCAAGGCCAGTATTACCCCGGCTACAGCGCATCCGATTTGCCCGTTTCCCAAGTTTCCGTTAGCCTTAATTTCAATTAAAGCCCATTTATTTGCGACTCATGGGATCCACTAATTTGTTTTTTTTAACGGGAGATTAATCTTTCCCCGACTGCATTTCTTGTCCACGAGGCAGTCATCAGCAATACGCATCTCACGAGACTCTAGTGGGAAGTCTTGAAGCCGCGACCTCACAGCCACTAGTTTGAACGCTCGACCGTTCGGTCATGGGTTGTTGATCAGCAGTGTGATTAAATCGCGCTAAGACGAGGCGTAGCATCACCCATCCTTTGATTATGGAATTCACATCACTTGGTCACGTGTTGACTGGATTCTCGAGTGAGTACTACTCAGATGGAGGGTTCACGCAAATTGCGAATTATGTATTGTTTTGAGCCAGATAAAGTTGATGCAGGTATGAAGACTCCATGCGGTTTTGTGCATCAAGTGGAGTCATTTTGTGCCGAAAACCCGAGCTGTTTCCTTCTCATTGCAGGTCATCAGCCCGTCATCAAATAGTCATGGCCGAATGGTCAAGTGCTCAAACTGCTCACCCGGGGGTTGCGGGTTCCAAAATCCTCGAAGTTTTGTGAGATGAGTGCGCTTATTGATTTCATTAAGGATAGAACAGCTGTAAAGCACTTTTGGATGTTTCTTCATGGAACGGTTTCACTCTCAGAACCAAATCTGGGCTGGGAATTCCGAATTCCTTCGACCATTCTCAAGAAGCGGTTGCAGTGAAGGAACTTTGTTTATCCACATTTGTCTCCTCCGTGAAGGTTTTCCATCTCGGGGAAATCTGTCGCGAAAAGAACGCTGTATTAGAATTTGCAAACTTACAGTGTCCGAATGTTAGACCCCGAGTGGTCTAAAAGCGATGCGTAGAATCAACAAAATGAGGAGTAGTCATGAAAAAGTCTCCAGAAAGGATGAGTCATATGTAGAGTTGAGCTATATATTTCTGTCCTTATTTCTCACAAAATAAAGCTAAGAAACTGAGTGATCCTCAGTTTGTGCTAGGCGTAAGTAGAAATACGAGCTTCTTGTTTGGTAGATTGACCCAAAAGCACTGTCTCTCTGCCTTTTCTTGGACGTTTTCTTCGAAAATTGTCCATATTAAGCTTTTCAGCTTGGTACTCGGTTAATGGGCATCCATCTTCATCTGTTATTCATGGAAGGTCGTGGGGACGCCTCGTGATTCAAAGCTTCTCTTTGAGATAAGCGATTTGACAATTTGTAAGATCCACAAGTCAGTTTTTCGAAACCTATCGGTGCGGCATGGCATTGGTCACTATCGCGTAAGCAGACTATGTACAGAGAGACACCATGGTTACTTGGGTACGGCCAAGCCGTCGTTTCATTTGTCTTCGGGAACAGGTTGACGGCCCCTGCAAGTCGATTCTGCCACGCCTAAAAACCTGAGATATTGAATTTGACAACAGCAGGGTGGTCCGGATGGGGACGTTCAGATCATTCGGATCTTTTCCGAATAAGCTTCGTCACTAATGCAAAAAGTGCAGGTGCGGTAAGTTAAGCCCCGCCCCACTTTTTGCCAGCTCCAATGTAATGTACGCACACAACCTTTACCTATTTTTAATGAAAACACAATTCCTTATCCACATCCAGGCTCATTTTGTGCAAAAATTTTCTCTGTTCGGACGTGAAACCTTAAGTGAACTTTCTGACGCTTTCAACTCTCGTTCATGACAAGGAGACAGCAATGCGTATTTTTACAAAGTCATGGAGTGATCGATCAGCAATGTGTATGCAACAGTGGCCACCAAATGACACTTTCAACAGTTTCTGACAAGTGGAGGTGTAATGCCAGACAGTGTCGGCAAGAAATCGGTCTTCGAAAGGGAACTTGGCTGGAGTGGTTCAGGATGGAGTTTAGGGCAGCAATTCTTTTGATTTATTGCTGGTTCAAAAATTCGGCAAAAATCAAACTCTGTCCAGAGGAATTATCCATTAGCCACACGACCGCTGTTGACTGGAAGAACTTTCTTCGCGAAGTTTGCGCCTGGTGGCTTTTGCAGACTCCAACAGTTATCGGCGGCCCAGGTTAACACGTCGAGATCAATGAAACGCTAATATCTCACCGTAAAAACCACACAGGGTGAGTCCTTCCCCAGCCGGGAAACTAAAGAGGTTTTCATGTATGCAGTGTCAGATCGAACTGTGACCACTTTGATGGACACAATCCAGGCCTGCATCGCTCCGGGCTCAATCATCATCTCCGATATGCGGGCATCATACCAAGGAATTGAAACGATTATTGAATCATGAAACGGTTAATCATACAGAAAACTTTGTGGATCCAACGACTAAGGCTCACAGACAAACCATCGAATCTCTTCGACACGTGTCCCAATTTCACCCTCTCCAATAAAAAACTGAAACTACACATTTCATATTCTCTTTCTTCCAATCTTTTTTGGGTGGCGGGGGTTAATTTTTTGGCGGGGCTTATCTGGAAAAGATCATCCGACTGCAATTCTACACCTTCAAACTCGGAATGATGCATGTGCCCCAAAGCCTTATCTTCATGTTTCATCGTCACTTCACGGGTCCTTTCGAAGTGAATCTATTGTTTTCCTATAACTGGAAATGTTGCGGACTACTAATGGCTTATCAGTCGCCAGCTGATTTGCGAACGTTTCACTGAGGAGACAGCACTAGTGTGACGTAGATAGTGTTTCTTCGCCCGTTTAGCNAACTGAGAAAACCGCCATAAATGGGGGCAACATGATCGCCAGAACAACAACAATGGCGAGTGGAAGCGAGGAAATCGTGGCTACGAGGTGTTTGAAATAAGTGGTGCGCTGGATGTGTCGATCTGTACAAGTAGCTCAATGAAGAATATGTTGCTGGAATATCAAGTGAATCGCTGGAGGGACCATACAAGCAATGATTGCCTCCTTGTGTGGGGAAGCGGCGCAGCCGGGAAACAGAAAACTAATAAACAACGCGCATTCAACGAATCGAAAAGGCATACCGGCGGTAAGTTAGATTTCTTGTTGTGTTCTCCGTCTATTTGGTGCCACAAGGAACCAAATTAGTGGAGTGGATATTATCAGATTTGTTCTGCATCGTTTGTCAGTTGTACACGAACACCGCCGTCAATTTTAGTGGTTCCCATGGCGATTTTTTTCATGTGTACAGACGTAAAACCCACCTCATAACACCGAGGCTGTCGTGAAACAAGACCCTGACGAATTTGCAGCATCGTTCGTTCGCAGATCTTTTCTTGGGAACCAAATAACTTGATTTTTTTCCCCGGAATTTTGATACATCCTTCATGAAGACAGAAAACACCAGTTGGTGGTATGGAGAAACTTTGGAACTTGTAATGGAGATTTTGTCCATTGAACGAAGTCTGTCATGAACTGCGCAGCTGTCTCATCCAGGCTGGGAATCATCAGCAGTGCGCATCTCACGAAACTCCTAAGAGTCTCGGACTCGTGACCTCCTGGCTAGTAGCTTGAACACTTAACCGTTCGGCCCCGGGCGGCAGATCAGTAGTGTGATTAAGTCCCACTTAGACAGGAAACACTGCCACTCATCCTTCAATCACTGATCGGTGAAATAAAAGAAATATAATAAATCGTTCAGCTGCAATACCTTTTCGGTGCCTAGCTACAATGTCATCTGGAGGAAGCACGAGGGTTGGGATACTGCCAGGTTGCCTGAGCCTAGACAGGAGAGGTGGAGAGGCATAAGTCGGGTTCGAACCAAGGACCTCCCGGTCATTATATTAATATACATATACAATTTATTTTATCATAGTATGTGTGTTATATACTGGGTTGCCTGAGACAGGAGAGGTGGAGAGGCATAAGTCGGGTTCGAACCAAGGACCTCCCGGTCATTATATTAATATACATATACAATTTATTTTATCATAGTATGTGTGTTATATACTGTCATGTTATACATTGTACTCTACACATTATTATTAGTAGTAGTATGGTGTCATTATATTATGCATCATATACATACATACATACATACATACATACAAACATACATACATACATACATACATACAAACATACATACATACATACATACATACAAACATACATACATACATACATACATACAAACATACATACATACATACATACATACAAACATACATACATACATACATACATACAAACATACATACATACATACATACATACAAACATACATACATACATACATACATACAAACATACATACATACATACATACCACATATGAATATATGAAATACGTGATGTATCACAGCTCAGCTATGTGAAATCCGCCGCACCAGAGCTAGCGGTTGGGAAGCGAATGCGTGGACGGGAGACGGCGTGCGAGACCCCGTATCGATTTCCATTGCAACCTATCCCGAGAGTCCCATGGATGGCCATCTGGACGCCTCGGAAAAAAACATCAGAGAAGCGGTAGACCATCGATAGACTGTCTCTATATACAGTCTTATTTCGTCTGAAGAAATCAGACAGATCGGAGATTAGATGAAGACACACCGGTTTGACGATAAAAAGGGGGTCATTCGTGTCCTTCTACACAAGCGTTCTTCTTCTACCAAGTAAAGAGTCAGCTTAGCTCGGATATCTGAGTCACCAGTCCCTGAGTATGTCGCGGCTAAATATTTCCTGCTACTGGGGCCAAGAGGTAGGCAGACATTGAACGAGAGGCCACAAAGAGGCTCACCAAAGGCTGAGAGTTCGAGAAGGGGAATAACCGCCTCAAGATCCAGGGATGTGATGAAATAGGGTGCGAGGAGAGCTCAATGTGACGTGGGATGGCTCAGTGGTTATAGCGCGAATTCACTGACTGGGAGCTCCGTGGTCTGTACCCGACCTCTGCGTCTCGGCTCCTCCTGTCTAGGCTCAGGCAATCTGGCAGGATCCCAGCCCTTGTGCTTCCCTCTGGTTGCATGGCAGCTAGGCACCGAAAGGATATTGTGGCTGAACGGTTTTATGCGATGAACTATGGTCGCCGAGCGAGTGATGAGGTTCACCGCTCGCAGATTTGTACGAATCTGTCCGATCCCAAGGTGGGTGGTATATATTCATCACCCAGGCATGCCACCTCACGGAAAATGCATTATTTGATCGTAATTGATTAGCAGTTGGAGTACTTGGCTCACCTAATGGATGGTATTCAAATCGGCTGCAGCCTATTTCAGGTTTTCAGCGAAAACAAGCATTGGAATCGATAAAACGTGAGCGCTCCGCTAACGTGGATGTTAGACATGACTGGACACATTACTGTTGTAACGATGATACTACTGATGAGGAGGCATGCGAGTAGTATGTTTTCTTCTTGAAATGGAGATCTATTGTGGAATTTGTGGAGTTGCTTCGTCGCGTTTGCTTGGACTTGAGCAACAGTCGACGAACATCCAAGAAAGTTCAGGAAGACGCGTTCAAGAGAAGATGGATGATTAGTTTTTTTTTAAATAAGTTGCATATGAGAGTTTTGCTTCCCTTTCCAATAATTCCCAGTCCAATAGTCTGTAACTGATCGGTTGGCATTTTCCAATAAATAACTCCACAGCGAAGGCCTTCTTCCTTTCACTGTGTCCCGCGACATGCCGAGTTTAAATGAACGACGTCACTCGCTTGGAAGCCTCGTCCTTGTGTTAAGTTGTCAATTAAGTTTACTGGGACAGGTGCGAAGACGTATTCCTAAGCACTGCGGTCGGTGTAAATTGTTCAGCTAGACCAAATGCTAAAATCCTGAAAGATGGCATTACCGGGGACAGTGGCATCTACCGGTGGGTGCCCAATTTTCCGGTACATTCGAGCGGCCACTGGTGAAGGAAGGGAAGTACAAGAACACTTTTTCCTGCTTGGTGTAACCCACGAAAAGGACTTTGGGACCACTGGCCTTTCTGCCGGATGTTACCAGAGCGTTTCGATGCTGTCCATCTTCCAATCACGTGATGCAAACCCTGTTTGTAATGGCACTGTAATTAGACTTGCTAGAGTTGATATTAAACTTTTGGGGAAAGAAATTGCCCCTTCAGATGCAGTGTTTTACGGAAGTACAACTGGTGATTTGGTTGAAGGATCCTGCGTTCCTCACCTCCTGGCATATTTATTGTCTTTGGGTAGTGGAATATGGGCTTGGCACCGGCAGAGGATGCTGAAGCGGAGCGATCATCCAGTAACTTTGTGCCAAAGATCACTGACTCTTTGATACAGCTGCTGCCGAAGTCTTGCATTAGTTATCGACCAGCTTCTTCTTGAACAGTGGGCTTTTGATGTCTTCTCCATAATCTCAATTTCATTGCCCTGCCGTCCTCACTACTGAGCAAGCCAAGCGCAGCA